AACGAGAGAGCTACGGTAGTAAGTAGTTGTAACTCGTAACCCATAACTGTTGGAAAGCAGACCTGACTTTGGATCCAGAACATATATTGCTGGCCTGCTCCTGTCTCATATGAGAATTGTTGAACCTTTATTGAGATGTCGGAACCCTTGCAAATGCACTGTTGGTGTCCTCTGGGAAAAACTATTCAACAAGGAATATGTGGGCCCATTTTTTTTTTCTGTGGGAAGGTGCACCATTGGCTACCTCAGCCAGGCCTCTCCATTTTTTATTTTTTTCACCCTACTTATTGGGGTGCATCGCATCACGTGCGTGTGCATTATGCGCCGCACGTGCAGAGCTCGCGCGCATGTGATACGCCGCAGGTATGGGTTGGAGTATAGGAAGAGTATAGGGGGAGTATAGGCGTGATATAAGGGATATTGGGGGGTTTAATAAGGGTGTTGGGGGCGGTTTGGGGGTGTTGGGTTCGTGTATGGGGGTATTGGGGGCCGCTATGGGGGTGTGGGTGGAGTTATTAGGGCATCTGGACCCCCCCAAAAAAAAAAGAAAAAGTGCGGGTGTCGATGACCCCCGACCGGTAGGTGCCGACCAGCCGAACAGTCGGCGGGTCGACAGCCGACCAGTCAAGGGCCACCGACCGTCGGCCGGTCCAACACTGAAAGGCACAAAATTTATCAAGTTTTTCATAGTCAATTGAGAATGTTCTCAATCTTAAAAATGAATCCAAAAATTTTGAATATCGTAGTCAAAGAAATTGGCGAACAATCACGAAAAAAAACAACAAAAAAGTACAAAAAAAAATGCCTCAATTAGATCATTGTTTATTTCAGATTCTTGAGTTGAAGAGCAGGCTGTATCAGCGTCCTGTTCTTGGCCGTTGCCAAGAGTGGGGTCATCTGCTTCGACCTTCCCTTCCCCTTTCAGCAAGTCAAGCAAAGCTAAGTGATTGCTGCCACGAAATAGCCCGCGAACAAAGGTCTTTTTGTTGCTTGTTGCGGTAAGGTCTCCTGCCTCCAGACTAACTACATCCTTCATTAAGGAAAACCAGTCAGTGTAACCAAAGAAATCCCTGCCAATCTTGGCGTTGTGCAGAGCTTGCTGACATGCAATTACAGTTTGTGCATGGTGCCCTGCCACTTGTTGCGCTTAAGCTCATCCAATATTATCCTTACTCTTGCTGCAGCATGCGGGTCTTTACGTTGCGCTACTAATATATCCTCGAGAGTGGTAGCCGAAGTGACTTTAAGCCACTCGGATAAGTTAATTTTGGAATACCCAGCTTGCATGGCTTGGACTTCAAGGAAACCCCTTACGACAAACCCAACGTTCGTCCGCAGAATCAAGGACCGGTTCACTCTTTGAGTGCCCTGTACCTCGAAGTAGGCTCTCATGGAGCTGATCCAGGACTCTACGTCCTCCTTGCCATCATATCTAGACGGTATCATCACCGCCTTCCTGTCCATGTATGGACTGCCATAGCTGGGTCCAGCTATTGCTGCTGGATCCGATCCCAGGGTTGCGTCAATGGCAGAACTTCCTGCGCTGCTGCTTGTAACGGCAGTGGGAACTGCAATTGTGGCAGGTCCTGACTGAATCACCAAACTCAACGAAGAAGACTGAGAAGAAGGAGAGGAGTGGAGGGGTGCAAAGGTAGAACGGGGAAGAGAACTTGAGGTTTGGGCCTGATGCATGCTTGTCATTTGCTGCAGCTGACCGCGATGCTCTTAGGCCATTTCAACCATTTGAGTACACATCTGGCTAATCTCCGCGAGTAGTTGAGATTTCACACTCGGGAGTTCGTTGAGCAAATGGTAGTTCACTAGCGCACGTACATACACAACCAAATATTTTTTTAAGTTTGCATCAGATACATTTGGAACGGTTTTGAAAATAGCCTCAAGTTCGTCAACGACTGTTTTCCACTTAGCCTCTTCTGTCTTTTCCTCCTCAGCCAACCCTTTCTAATAGAGGGCCTCATACAACTGTTTATCAGCCTCACTCGCTGCATCCATGCGAGCCTTTAACATATCAGACAGTTTAGCTGGTGCCATGTCAGAACTAGCTCCTTCGGTTGCCACGACTTCTCTCGCCCTTCTCTCTTGTCCGCGCGTCTCAACGGGCATGTAGTGGATTTCAGCAAAAGAAACAAACTGAAAGTACAGAGAAGAAGATAAAACTTCTAGCCGGAGCAGCAAATATTTGGACTAGAGGGCAACCAAAAAAAAAAAACTATCAAAGAATGCAATATATTCAGAAGAGAGTTCTGATTCCGCGTTCAAGTCCGGTCACACCAAGTACAAGATCCCCTTGAGCCTAATCCAACTGCCACCGTCAAAGTACATCAAACCAGACTACAAGTAACATCATACAGCAATGGAGAATTGAGTGGTGTATAAGGTGCAGGTCAATCATTGGATTGTGTGTCATCTGTCTGACAAAGTATCTCAGGCGAGATCCCCTCGGCAGCGAGGGCTCTAAAAGAAAAGAAGAATATTGTATCCATGACAAAACAGAGAGCTGTACTGCGTCAACAGATTTGGGTCCAAGGGCCCCTTCTTGTTTGGACCCGTTCCCATTGGGTCCCAATGGGTCCCAAGTAGGTCACGACCAAGTCCCAACCAAGGAGAGTACCTCAAGGTCCTACTTTCTGCCTCTACCGTACTGAAAAACGAATTTCAACTTCAAGAGAGAACCTACAGACTATATCCATGCACTGATGAAAAGACAAAGCACTGTAGAAAGAAATGGCTTTTCAAGCAAGATACTTCATTTCTACATCCATCAGGTTAGTAAGTAGTCCGCACACCAATGCACACAGCCAAGACTTCAGAGGAGTAGGAAAGAGACCCAGAAGTACCCCAGCAGGACAAACAATACCATGCACACATACATGGGCAACCCTTAGGTGCACGACACTTACCTGAGTGGCCCGGACTCTCCCCTTCCTCATGTGGTCTTCCTAACCCTATTCACTACCTCTACACTAGTGTCCTATCATGTAGGAGGGTCTCACTTCCAACACCAAAGTGCAACGCCGGATCCCCCGCCGATGCTGAAGAACAAAGTAGTAACTTGCAGTCCGTAGATGCAGAATGGCTACCTCCCTCAAGATTGCCTACTTGAGGGAGGCCCTCAAGTCACCAAGTGTCTCCCTTAGGTCAGATTCCACGTGCAAGTGCCTCTCACTGTCGCCTCTCTCAACTTTTCGCATGAAGTCCTCTTGATGTGTCTCGCCACCACATACTCACTCTCAATCTACCTGGTCAGGTTCAATGCCGACGTAGCATGACCTAACCAGGTGGGGCCAACATCCCCAAGCCACACTTCCCCACTTCGCACTTCGGACCAACCCTAACCGTAAGTGGTTCGCCCTTACCACTTAGGTTAGGGTTAGGATGGATAAGTCAACTCTCACCAGCAAGAAGAATCCGCTCTGAAACCAATCTTATGATCCTGGCCAATTTTGAAGTACACATTTATCAGATAGTACAATGCTGTCCAATTGCAGAAAGAAATGAATGAACTTGAGAGGAGAGAGAGGGTAAGAAGAAGAAGAAGATGATGTACACCAGCATAGACAAATGATAAAGCTCTTCTTCTTCGCCAAACACTCTCCTCCTCCTTATCTCCTCGTCTCTCATTCACACAAGAAATAATAATACAATGTTGAATGGCTGTACCGGAATCAATGTCTGAATCCCTCTTCTCCTGCAGGTATCACTTCAGGTCCACCATAGCCATGGCCACCTCACTCACTCTTCACTCTCATAGGCCGAGGCTATGGCGGACTACTAGGTCTTGCCCTTATGCCCAAAGGACAACCAAAGCAGCTATGGCTGCTCTAGCTCAGGCCACCGTGCCTGACTCTGCCTCAAAGCTTCTTGGTGTAGCTCTGCCCCAACGGGGACCTTCCTGCTGCAGCGCCCACCAAGGTGATGAAGATGGCTGCCACCATAGTCAGGTAAGTACCTCTGGCGCTCCCCCTTCCTCCTGCTCTTCTTCCTCCTCCGTGTCCTTGCTCCTTCCCCAGCAGCGCTACTCTTGCTAGCACTGCTCCAGCCAGCGCTCCAACCAGTGTGTCACCAAACTTGCACATCGACAATGAGGCTGGGCTCTTCGCCTGGCCTGGAGCTATAGCGCCCTGCTTGCCTCTTGGGCAGTGACTTCCAGGCCGCTCGGCCTTCCAAGCAACCGGTACCTCCTCCCTTCCGGAGGGAAACATCATTGCAGACTCTGATATTGCCCGTACAGGCCCTAGACTCAGATTGGTTGGACTGGTACCCGCCTACACCTAGCCTACAACTATTGGCCTCTAAAAATGCCATTTTCGTCTTCTTCTGCTCGACCTCCAGTACCCGCACATCTACCTCTTCAGGGTGTGGTAATGGCCTACCTGCTACTTGAATGCTTTACCCCGCTGCAATCCGCAATGTCACGGCCACAGGTAAGTACCGGCCCTGAGGGCCCAACGAACGAACAAGTGCCCTTGTGGGTCACACACACACTCAAGCCAACCAGCACTCAGACAGACATGCAGACGAGCAAGCGTGCACACACACACACACATGCAGACCAGCAAGCGTGTACACACACAGACTTAGATAACTTCGTAGCAAGCGGGAAACTCAGCAAGGCATTCAGTCCATGAGCAAAACTCAGAAATCAACTGTCTCATTCCGTGTTTGGTCGGGTCATCACAATTTTGTTAAACGAAGACGAAAAAAAAGAAAAAAGAAAGTCAGTTTTAGTACTGTTTTACTAATTTAGCTTTTCGGTTTTGATGAGATTTTGGTAGTTGCAGTGTTCTTGGCACTTCGGTGTGCTTAGGGCGTACTCACACTAGCACTATCTCAAATGTATCTGACCGCATTTCCGGCCGAACCTGTATGCATCAGGTCGTGTTTCCGTCCAGAAGTAAGTGAAAAAGTGTTAGTGTGAGTATGTGGTTATCAGTGCGTTTGGTGAATCTGGTTGTACTCTTCTTGGCTGGCGCATGCAGGACATTGCGCGGTTTTTAATCAAGACTGCTTTGCAGCGTGCGGCGAAGAAGCACAGTCTGACATATTCCGAGTTGATCAAGACGCCTCGTGGATTGAGGAGAGAATTTCATGATGACATAACATGCATCATTTTCTTCTTCAACCACTTTTCTTCGCTGCGACCGGCTTTCACAAAGGCAAGCACAGCAATCTGGCGACCCGGGACACCTGGATCTGTGGTGACCACGGCCGTGGGCCAGACTGCGGGGCCGTCATTTGCCATTCCAGAGGAGTCAGAAGCAGCATTAGGAGGATTGGAAATGCACTCCATGGAGTTGGCGGGAAGGAGGATGTACAATCAACAGCAAATGGTAGGAAACGGTGTAATGGACTATGCCTTGGATCGCCCAATGACCAGCCCGAGCTTTTCGTTGAGACCGAAGCCACATATTAGAGATGTGCAGGGTAACGTGTTCTTCGGGGATCACAATTTCGTTTACCCGAGGGGGACGCAGCCGGAACCCCATGCTGGGACTTTCGTCATAAGTGGTCACCCAAATGTCTCTGGCTATCGCCGAGAGAACGTTGCTGGGATAGGTGGTATGGGTGACATGGGAGCATAGAACCTGCGTGACACCACGACAAGTCATGCTCGGGACAACTGGAAGAGATAGTCGCAGTGGCGAGGGAAAGGTGGTGAAAGGCGGAACAAAGTATGTGTGTTTGTACGGGGCTCTGGGACTTCGGTTATGAGTGGTCGCCCAAGTGTTTGTGGTTTTCGGCGAGAGACCGTCGCTGGGATGGGTGGTATTGGTGACATGGGAGCATAACCTGCTCGACACAACAAGAAGTCATGCTCGGGACACAACTGAAAGAGAGAGTCGCAGTGGCGAGTGAAAGGTGGTGAAAGGCAGAACGAGGTATGTGTGTTTGTACGGGGCTGGGACTTCGGTTATGAGCGGTCACCCAAATGTCTGTGGTTTTCGGCGAGAGACCATTGCTGGGATGGGTCGTATGGATGACCTGCGAGCATAGAACCTGCTGACAAGTCATGCTGGGGACACGGCAGAATGAGAATCGCCAGAATGGCGAGGGAAAGGTGGTGAAAAGCAGAACAGGGTATGTGTGTGTGTGTGTTTGTACGGGGCTGGGATTTTGGTTGTAAGTGGTCGTCCAAATGTCTGTGTTTTTTGGCGAGAGACTGTTGCTGGGATGGGTGGAATAGTGACCTGGGAGCATAGAACTTGGTCGGCAAGTCGTGCTGGGCGTGCAGCAAAATGAGAATAGTGGCAGTGGCGAGGGAAAGGTGGTGAAAGGCGGAACAGGGTATGTGTGTTTGTACGGGGCTGGGACTTTGGTTATGAGCGGTCACCCAAATGTCTGCGAGAGACCGTTGCTGGGATGGGTGGGACAAGTGACCTAGGAACATAGAACTTGCTCGGCAACTCATGCTGGCGGCACAGCAGAATGAGACTAGTCACAGTCGCGAGGAATTCCGTTTACCCGAGAGGGGCACAGCCTGAAACCCATGATGGGACTTTTGTCATAAGCGGGCACTCAAATGTCCCTGGTTTTCGGCGAGAGACCATTTCTGGGATGGTTGGGGTACAGGTTACCTGGGAGAATAGGGCTTTGATGCAACCGCAAGTCGTGCTGGGCGCACAGTGGAATGAGAATAGTCGCAGTGGCGAGGACGCCACTGAAAGGTAGAATGAGGTATGTGGGTTTGAATGGGGGAGGGGCAAGGTATTGACTGCCAATCTTCACGACTAACTCGCTCACTGTTGTGATCCTTTCTGCCCTAGGCAGGCATAGACTAGAGGACAGCAGAAAGGACGGGGCTAATTAGGGGGGCTTCATTCCTCCCAATTGCTGAGGTCCTTTTGCCAATCAGAGGATAATTTCTCAGGTGGGCTTCATTCCCTGCAGTTTGCTGAGGCGGGCTTCATTCCCCCCAATTGCTGAGGTGGGCTTCATTACCAGTACCCAGGGGGAACACAAGAAGGAAGAGGGAAGGGTAGCCACTAGAACGAGAAATCTATGGGAGTGTCATTTATCATGGCAATTTCAGCGATATGGTCAGATTTGCCTCTTGATTTTCTGTATTCATTGATGACAGTGGTGAGGTAATAAAGATGTTTGTGCACAACCTATACAAATTGGGGGATCTCTCTCTCTCTCTCTCTCTCTCTCTCTCTCTCTCTCTCTCTCTCTCTCTCTCTCTCTCTCTCTCACACACACACACACACACACACACACACACTGTGTGCCACACTTGCTCTTGAGCGTGTGTTCTTGCTCCTGCATGCAGCACAGAAAAGCAACATACACCACCTATGCTTTCCAAGTTGATCACAAAAAGAGGCACGAGCATGAGTTGATGGCATGAATCATGTTATTGTTTCTACAGGGGTCACATAGCTGCTCCTCGGGAGAGGAGGGCCATGAATAGCACCAGAGGCTGAGGGATACTGTGTGTGTGTGTACCGTTTGAGTAAACTGGGAGGGTCGCAAGAGCAGCTGTTGCCAGTGTTGGCACCCTCCGAGATGACATAACCTCAGCGACGAACAAGCTAGGACAACAGGAACCGGAGCAACCTCAAGGCAGAGAGGGGGTGGGGGGGAAGTTGGGGGTTGGGGGGGAATGGCACGAAATCTGATATTTTCTCTCTTTTAAGGGCATTGTCGGCAGGTGACACAGTGTCTGTTTATCAAACAGTCATGCCCAGTCTTGCAGCGCAACAGATCATGTCCGCCACCGTTCTCCAGGGAGGGAGGGCTGGTTTTTTAAGTCATGTGCACGTATCTGGGGGTTAGTGACATCGCGCTCTGTGTCTCAGTGAGGGAGGGCTGGTTGTTGGTCGGCAAGAATGGGGGCGGTGATGGCAATTTTTTTATTTCTTTTTTGATGGGCATGGGGTTTGCAATACCCCATGCCATATGTCTCATGGAAAGACTGAGGGCCAACTCGCCTGCCCTCAGCCCAGGCCAAAACGGGGGCCAAAAGGACCCCATACGAGGACTCAGGGCCTGGACGTGAGACAGTTGACTTTGGTCAACTGTCGTGACCCCAACAGTCAAAGTCCAAAGGTACCTAGCCCAGGCCGCTGGTCAAGCACACACACTTGTTTGTATGCAGGTACCCCGACAGCATCAGGTCCAAGGGAAAAGTCTGCAACTGCACAATCCGGGCCCTCAGCTGTGAGTCAATCTGGACGACTGTGGGGAAAACACCCGAGGCCAGACAGCCTCGACAATTGCTACTTAAGGCTGGTCTCGAGTGAGTCAACCATTCAGTCTCGCTATGCTGCTTTGACGCTGGCTCGACTTTGACTAGACGCTGGTAATATGCTGGCTGGACGCTGGCAATATGCTGGCTGGACGCTGGCTAGACGCTGGCTGTGCACTGGCGATGCGGACGACGGCACGAGGTGGAGGCAGCATGCTGGCACTTTCTGCATTGTATGCCAGGCTTGCTGAGGTGGCATGTTGATGTGGCGCTACCTCTGGTCTACATTGCATGCTGATGTGGCGCTACCTCTGGTCTACATTGCATGCTGATGTGGTGCTACCTCTGGTCTACATTGCATGCTGNTCTGGTCTACATTGCATGCTGATGTGGTGCTACCTCTGGTCTACATTGCATGCTGATGTGGCGCTGCCTCTGGTCTACATTGCATGCTGATGTGGCGCTGCCTCTGGTCTACATTGCATGCTGATATGGCACTACCTCTGGTCTACATTGCATGCTGACGTGGCGCTACCTCTGGTCTACATTGCATGCTGATGTGGCGCTACCTCTGGTCTACATTGCATGCTGATGCGGCGCTACCTGTGGTCTACATTGCATGCTGATGTGGTGCTACCTCTGGTTTACAGTGCATGCTGATGTGGCGCTACTTCTGGTCTACATTGCATATTGATGTGGCGCTGCTACTGGACTACATTGCTGATGTGGCATATGCCACCTGTCTCGACTGTTGACGTGGCATTATCCACGCTGTCTACATGAGGTGACTGGTTGCGAGGAGGAGGAAGATCGGGATCTGTGGATGAAGGAGATCGGGTACTCACCTGAGGTTGACGTCGTCACTGGAATCTGCTATGTCTTCATGGTCTTCACGAGATAAAGTGCCACGTGGCACTATTGTGTGTAATCAGGAATATACTTATTATCATTGTTGACGTAGAGAACGAAGAAGCCCGGAGAAGGAGAAGGGTTTGAAGGGATTATTATTGTGAGATCTTTCATCTTCTCCTCTGTCTGTTCCCCCTCCACTCTCTTCTTTTGATGGTAATGAGATACTGTATGAGATATCACTTCACGATTTGGAGACCTTGATGCAGATAATGAGACTACTGATGTTTGACGACTTCTGAGTATCTGCCAGACTGGGTTCATTACAGGGTTGTTGGCAGGAGATGTAGCATGCTTGCAGTGTCATATACCGAGCAGTCATGCCGCAGTCCTCCAGGGCAACACATCATGTGCCACCAACATCCTCCTTGATTCGTACCGTACACTGAACATTTTCCATGGACTCTGTGCTTTCACTGTGAAGTGAAAGTGGAGCCTCGCGCATTCAGTCTCGACTGCATTTGTGTATAATACTCCTTGATCAGTGAAACAACACGCTCTCCATATCAGTGAGGAGGGAAGGTTGGCCGGCAAGAATGGAGACGATAATGGTGATATTTGTTTAAGGGCATGGGACCAGTGCCATGGTTTGATTGCAAGTGTCATAAATAGACCAGTCATGCCGCCGTAGTCCAGGGCAACACATCATGCGTGTGCCAATCTTCTCCTCGATTAGTGAGTGACAGCAGCACTCTGTCGGGGAGGGGTGGGGGGGAGCGACAAGAATGTGGACGGTTAATCGGTGGTGATGGTAAGAAGGGGAGCTGCATGGAGGAAAGGCAAGTGCATATGCATGGATTCTGGTCGTTCACAATCTGCTTCAGTATCTTTTTTTTCCTTCTTTTTTTTCCTCTCGTTCCCTCTTTCTTGAAAAGGACGACAGCCTTGAGATATCATCATTGAACTGACCGGCCCCAGGCAATTCAGAATGATTTTATTCTCTCCATCTGAAAGTATCTGGGTTCAAACTCGTCAACAGGTCGTGGGTGTACCGACTGAGCTAGGCCTGTTGGTTCAGTATCTTTTGGGAAAGAAGAAGTTTGGACACGCGTTAAAATTGGAATGAAAAAGTCCTTCGGGACATCCGTTAAACATCCGTTAAAATTGGAACGATACAGAGAAGATTAGCATGGCCCCTGTGCAGGGATGACACGCATAAATCGAGAAACGGTCCAAATTAAAAAAAAAAAAAAGAAGAAAGGAACAATACAGAGAAAGAAGATTAGGATGGCCCCTGCGCAAGGATGACACACATAAATCGAGAAATGGCCCAAATATTAAAAAAAAAAAAAAAAAAAAGTAAGAAATGAAGGATACAGAGAATGAGATTAGCGTGGATGGCCCCTGTGCGAGGATGACATGCATGAATTGAGATATGGCTCAAATCAATAAAAATATTAAAAATAAGTTATAATAACAACTGTAATCAGACTCTACCTCAACTTCACTGCCAGCATGCATACACTCAGAAGTCGATGGCAGAAGCACTCTGACAAACGCAAAATCAGCAATAAGCGTGAGATGGTGCTCGGCGTCCACACAGAAAACTCAGAGATGTGGCCTCTGGCCAGGAACTCAGTTTAAGTCAAACTTTTACAACTTGCGGCTATTGCCGCTGAACACAGTCCGAATTCCCACCCGAACACTGTATCCACCATCAGACACATCTGCCGCTGAACGTCTGAATTCCCACCCGAACATTGTATCCACCATCAGACACTCCTCACTCGCTCAAGCATATACTCGCACACACTAGGATCTACCCTGAATGTCCACGCATACACATCACACACACACATGTGCTGCTGTGGCTCTGTACTGGCGGCTATGGTCGGAGACTGCCTCCTGCTATCTTCTACCTAGTAGCTATGGCCTCTGTCTCTTCCTTCCTGCCCACTTCGTCTACAGGCATCTGCAGTCCAACGCACAAGACACTGAGGCAGCGCTTCCACGTCGCTTGCAGAATGAATGAATGGCTGGGCGATGCCTCAGTATTTATACTTTTTCGTCGATGGCCTTGCCTGCCTTCAGGCCCAGGCCCAAGGATTGTGCTATCCCACCTGGTACTTGCTGACTGGACGAAGTAGACTGGGACTGGGTACTGGAACTGCTGACTGTGCTAGGACTGGACAACCCTTTGCTGTGGAATCAGACTGCACTCCAAACTTGCTTTCAACATGCATATACATGAACTGATGGCAAAACCAGAATCAACAACGAACTTGCACTTGTCTGTTCAAGTCAACTGTACAACTTGCGGCTATGGCCGCCGAACACTGTCTCCACCACCAGCTTCACTCTTCCTCAAGCACGCATGTACGAGTATCTAACCTGAATGTCCACGCTACACAGCCACACACACTCTGTACACTCTGCCTGTGACAACAGCTGGGCGGCTATGGCCGTCGTCGTCTTCCTCCTCCTAGCTATGGTTGTCGTTGTCTTCCTTCTGGCCAGCTATGGCCGTCGTCTTCCTCGCTGCCCACTTTGGCTCCGGGCACCTGCAGACCTCCACACACAACTCACCAAGGCAGCAGTTCTGCATGGCTCACAGGCGAATAGATCAATGGTTGGACGCTGCCTCTTTATTTTTACTTTGGTAACTGGGCCCTGCCTCAAAACGTTTGGGCCTGGGCCAAAACGCGTGGGCCCCAAGGCCAGGAAACTGCCAGACCACGTAGGCGTGGTAGGCCCAAAACGTGTGGGCCCTCTGGGGGAAAACGTGTGGCCCCATAACGTGTTTTTGGAGCCTTTTGCATACCACGTCGCCAGAACCTTTCCCGACGTTATCGAGCGCATCGGTTCCACAGGGGGGGACCCTCCCGGCCGCGTCACGCAGGATTTTGCAGGATTTCATCGTAGAGTGTTTTGCCACTCTGGCCGAGTGCGCCAGCCATACCTCTTGCGAACCCCTACGACAGGATAGGGTTACGCGAGGTACAACTTACCTTCACCCGTGGAAGTTGTCACCATCCCTTGGGTG